CACTGGTTGGAGTCTGTACCCATGCCTGGGGCGCTTGAAGAGCGTGCAGTTCGTCGTTCTTGCTCTGACTTAGTGTGAAGGTGTTGTCCTATTTGCTCTGCGATGTTAGCGAAGCAGAGTGTTGACTGTTGGTTCATAACCCACCACGTATGGAGATGCAAAACCATTCTGGAACGGAGGTTGTTTATTGCCAATCAGCAGTCTACACTACCGCCCATCTATTGATCCATGTCTACATCTTCCAGGCAGGCTATTGGAACCACTGCTTCGCTCAAAGTTCTCGCGAACTTGGATGAACTTGCACCTGGCACTGCTTTTGTTGTCAATCCATATTCCCGAAAACGAGCCCTGCAAACTGGTGTAGCTGACATGGCTGACAGAACATGACAGAAAACATTGGAAGCCCCAACATCGTATACAAACCATCTCCTGCTTCATGCACATCCTGCTTCATGCAGCAAAGCCCCGGCTCACCCTGAGGCTCCGGGCTGCAAGCAGTACTTCACCAAGCCCTTTCGAGATTTCACCACCACACGGTCCTTCCCTGTCTCGCAGACCTGGGGGCAGGTCGACCCGGTAGGGACGCAGACCTGCCGGCGGGTTCCCCAGGCTGACCGGGGGGCGTCTCCACCAGGTCGTCCCACTGCGGGCGTTGGTTGTTTGCTTCAACAAGCCCTGAGGAAAATGGTCTTCCACCCTACATCTGGCACAATTATACTGTATATGCGGACAAATATTCAGGATATCAATTGGCTTTGGGTCGTGCCACTCGGCACATCCGTTCCAGGTATTGCATACCACAATTGTGCCTTCATCAAAGTTCATCCTGCAAAAGGGCCCTAGATACTTCCAATATCGTCCACTCTTTCTGCCCTTCCAGGCCAAAGAACTCCAACATCATTGCATTGAGAAACCAAACACCGGAAATCAACACAATAATCAATGATCATAATTTACAAAACACACACACAAACAAATACCTTGCATTTATCTGTAAATCTCAGTCTATCTGAGAATATCTGAGAATATCAGGGTGTCCATCAATACTCTCATTATCTTTGACACTCTTGGACCCCGTCGTTCACTTCACCCCACCAAAGTAGGCATTCCTCGGATGCTAAGTGACCGTGGCTTCCTCAAAGCCTCCCAGCACCAGCGCGACCTTAGGGGATCGAGTGGGGGGTGCCCGACCTTCTGGAGGTCCCGGATACTAGTGGGCTGGGGCGGCTGGGGCAACACCAGCCAGGTGACCCCTTTAACAGGTGTTGGTATCCAATATGGTTTCTGCCTTTTTTTAATGTTTTTTTCTGAGTGGAGCGGCCTTTCGACATGTGAGAACGGGCCGAGAAGGGGCTGCAAGAAGGGCTCTTGGACATGTGGACGTGGACATGTGTTGACTGCCTCCAAGCGTGTGGGAAAATGAAGTGCTGACTTCCCCAGTCTCCACGCAAATTCATAGTGCATCAATGAGAAGGCTCATAAACTTTGCAGAACTGCAGGAACTGTATCAGAATCCTGTGGTTTTCACAGCTGCGGGTCATATTCCTGCGTCAGGGAGGCCCCCCCGAAAATACCTCGAGATCTCCAATGTTCTTTGCCTTTCACGGAGAAGGCAGGTGCCATGTGGCCTGAAAGCGAGATGGAACCATGGAATGCATGGTATATATGGTGTTCATCCCAAGGCCCTCCTGGCACTCAAGCCGGGTGCTAAGGGGGAGTGGTTTGGTGGGTGTGATCTTGTCTGTCCGAACAGATCTTCTGCTAACGATCTGACCTTTGAGGGGCTTAATAGTTATAGTTCTAACTACAGGATTATATATATACATATCAGAAAATTATATACATCCTCTATGGACCAAAGGGGCTAAGGGCCTAAGAGTAACCCAAAGGGAGCTTTTTCATGATCATGTTTGATCCCAAGCACCGAAGGGCCGAAGCAAAGCACCAAATATCAAACGGGTGCCGGGAGGGATCTGAGTTCGTAAGGACACGGGCGGCCCAACATGCACCACGTTCGCCCACGGATTGACCACTTCCCACCTCACATCCCTTCAATCTCTGGCTTATTTTCCGTAGACGTCAAATCAGTTTGCCAACATTTGCCGACCAAACCCCTATGTTGCGTTCGTTGGACGGGAATTGCAATCACTCGCCCATTTCTGCGGTGTTCAAACCTATATGGGAGGTCATCTGCGAATCTTCAAACTACACCATGCCGTCATCGGAGTGCAACCTCTCGGAGGCCGGGTCCAAAATCATCCAAGAAAAGTGTTCATGTTCAATACTTCGAAAGACGAAGATCCGAGGCGCGCTGCCGCCCTCCTCCATCAATCGATGCACAGTGGACTTGTCCGCGCTGAGGATCTCAACAGGGACGGGGGGCCGCACGGTCTGATACAAAAAAGTCAACTCAAACCTATATACTATATATATATATATTAGAACTTGCATGAACTTACTCATGAACTTGCCACCTGATCTAGTCGAATCCATGAAGACATGGTTCAATCTGGTCGAATCACATCCAAAATTCAGACCTGTCACTAATCCCAGGGTCCTGAAGCCCTCAGTCCACATGCCCCCACGAGATTCGGGTATTGGCTCTGCGCTTGGTGTTCCGCGCCTCCCGGCTCTCGGTCCTGTACCTTGAGTGTCAACACACGGGTCAATGTACAGTTGGGCGCTACCTGAGAATCATTGGCAAACCATCATCTATGGAATAAGTTGGAAATTGACCCCGGGTCAACCACCCCAATGTAGGTAACTTGAGGCCAAGGGGGGGGGGCGAAAGCTAGCGCTCCAGAATGGGAAAGTGGAGGGCAGCGAGGTAGGAAAAAACACGGCGCTCTTTTTGGAGGCAGGGGTGAAGAGTCCTTTATATGTGGCTCTTTGCCCGGATCCTCCTGCGAGAGAAGAGAGACGGAAAGACGAGAGACAGAGAGGAGAGAGAGAGAGAGAGGAGAGAGAGATGAGAGAGATGAGAAAGAGATGAGAGAGATGAGAGAGATGAGAGAGATGAGAGAGATGAGAGATGAGAGAGAGAGAGAGACAGTGAGACAGTGAGACAGTGAGACAGTGAGACAGTGAGTCAGTGAGACAGTGAAACAGTGAGACAGTGAGACAGTGAGACAGTGAGAGTGAGTGCGGCCGCAAGATACGCAACGCTAACCGCATGCCAAAGAGCGACGACAGGACGGAGTCGAACTTGCGAAGAGGGAGGAGGGAGGGAGGGAGGGAAGGTGGGAGGAAGACAAGGAGGAGGAGAGGGGAGGTGGGGTGGGGAGAGGGGAGAGGGGCGGAGGGGAGGGGAGGGGGGGGGGGGGGGGGGTAGGGGGGGGGTCTTCGACCTGAAAAATCAGGGGTTAGGATTTGCACCCGGTCGAAAGAAACCTTGCTATCGCAAGAGTAACTCCAGCTAGCTTCGCTAGCTTTCGTGAATAGGTCATACAATGTAGACAAAAGAAGCATCATCCTTCCGATGTTGGGGTTCGTGGCCGGGCCGTGTTTGGGCACCCCCTACAAGGGGCTGTATGGGGTTAGCTGCCGATTGGGCAGCCTGAAAGGCCCATTCCCACAACCAGCTTCTTGAACCAGGAGTAGCCCAGCCTTGACAAGGCAACTCCTCCCATGTGCCTGTTGGAAGTCAACAATGAAACGAATTGAAACGGCGTCATGTGACCATTGAACCACATAGTGATCGCACCATGGAGTGCTTGCATGTTTGGGTTGGACAATTTCGTCCACACCAAACACCCAGTTGTGAGATGGAGCTAGGCAGCGCTTGGCCATCTGCGGATGCCCCCATTCGCGGCCTTCTAGCATGCCCGTGTCCGTGTCAGTCAACAAAACAAAATCTTGAAGGCATCTGAACTCTGGAAACCAAGGCACACATCACAGAAAAGCCGGAAGATCGGATTGCCATTGCGCAAGAAGTCGTCAATTAAGAAGGTCATCTTTGTCTCAGGCGGCGGACAAGTGCGAAAGAGCAAGGTGAATTGGCTGGACCATGTGAATTGGCTTAAACAAGCAATCTGTGTTTGCTTCCAGCCTCACTGATAGAACATGCTGGCTACTTCATGTCAGTCCTATCCTAACTTGCCCAGGGAGTACTCAGCGGCTATTATGTACACAAAGCTGTGTCCTTAGTCACCCTACTCAGCTGCACACTCCACCGGTGTCGGACCCCCACCGGTGTCAGCGTCAAGCAGCCAAAGGAAGCGTAGGAAGCGAGTCCGTTTCCCCACAGTGGGCCAAGAATAGGAAGAAGTGAAGTCAGACACATGTCACATGGGAATGGAATACAATATGGTTTCAAACCTCTAGGCAGTCTCTGCAACTGCAAGGATCCCATGGCCGCCATGGCCTATGTTCGTATGTATGGAGTTTTGGTTCGGGCACAGGCTGCAAGCAAGGAAACACCTAGCTCCTACAGGGCGCGGGGGTCTCAAAGAAGGATACACCGACCACAGTGGAGTTCAAGCCCAGGACGCCTGCCCAGGACGCCTACTTTCGATTCGAGAAACCTCTCGATCGCGCCGTTTGGAGGCCAGCCGCCTCTGAAAAAAGGCCATATGGCCTCGTGCTACCAGTAGCAAGGCCGGGAGCTACTAGTAGCATCCTCGCCCCTAGCAGTGAAAGAAAATCATGTCAGTCAGCTATCCACCTGCCCCGGCCGCCGTTGTCCGGCCACGGGACAGACTTCTCGAGGAACTGCGAATCAAAGAGCCCATTGACCTCAGTGGGACGGGAAGAAAACTGATGAAGACTGTAAACTTCAGACCCCGGCACTGGTGACTGGGTGATTGCTTCGCATCCCAGTTCCCCAAAATACACGACTTCACGATAGTCCTGATATAGGAGTGTCCTGAAGAGGAAACTGCCTGTCGAGAACAAGCGACCTGACAGGAAGCCCCCCCCAGCTCAGTGGACATCTCTCAAAAGAACCTCGAAACCACTCGAGACCTGAATTCCCAAATCAAACCGTTTTTTGCCGAGCTGACCTGGACCGATGATGTGTCATCCTCACGTCCTATCCCTCCTTTCCACATGTGAGGACCAACCAACCCCGTGAACTCGCGCTGCCGCGTCTCCCCGCGAACGGCGCTTCGTCTCCGCGGCGGTAAATCCGAAGCTGATGGCGCCATGCGGATGGAACGCGAAGACCGTCCGGTCCTGGAAGGTCGATTCACGCCTTTATGGAAGCCGGGTCAGCCGGGCCCTGGGTCTGGGTGGTGGACGAAAGGGAAATGGTGAGTGGCTTGCATATGGAATTCCATATCAAATACATCTTTGGGTTTGGTGCCATCATGTGCCATCTACTCTGATTTCAAACTGGAGTTGAAGATGAGCATATCTGAAAATAGACCACCCAGCTGGTGTCATAGCCCGTTGAAAAGCGATGACCTAATAGATACCTCTGTCTTTATGTAGTAAATGGATGTAAATAGTCCCCCGGAGGGTGGGGGCGGGGGATATCACCAGCTTGGGAGGGTGGAGCTGAAAATGGTCGTGCAGCTGCACTGCAGCTGCACTGCCGGTAAATTGGACAAATCAAACCGGCTAATTATGAGCCTGGCGATCTTTTCTCATCTCTTCGAAGGTAAGCAAATGGAAGTCGTGGCGGCGCTTTTTTGTGCGTCTGTCCTGCTTGGTGATGTTCTCCAGGCCTTTCAACTCACACCTGGCCGTGAAGTCCTTGAAGCCTTTCTCCATGAAGGGCAGGAACCTCAGGGGCTGCATGCCCAGGCCCAAGAGCACCAAAGTTTTAGTCCGCCCCGGGTTTCCAAGTGCTCAAAGGGGGGAGAATGTATATACAACTAGAAAGTATGATATTATATGTATACCTACTATATTATCATTACATATAGAATATATGCAAGTTTTGAGGAGTCTATATCGTCTAGCCCGTCCGCTAGCCTCACCCTGGCCTCCAACTACCCCAGTGACTAAGCAGTCTAAGCAGTCCACCACCGAACAAACCAAAGGCTCATCCATCCACAAAAAAAGTCCACCAAATAACTCCCTTCACCGTCCATGTCCACACTCATCTGACCAGCCGACACTTATCTTCCAAAAATCCAAGGAACCCCGGCCAGCTGGGCAGGCGAAAGTCCAAAATCACCGGGGAGGCGAAAATGGCGACCGAAACGCTGAAGACCAAGCGCAACACATCTGCCGCGGGGGAAGTTTTGCAGCAAGAAAACGGATGAACGCACAACCGGATGGCCAACGCCTGTCGAACTGACAACGTTGCGACGATGAGGAGTTCTGAAAGAGCATGCCAGTGGTGCCCCGGCATTCTCTTCAACTCGATGATCTCCCTACGGACTTGCCTTGCTTGTCAGGGTAGATGACTGGCAACTCACACAGCAAAACAATTGCCGACCTCTTATTGCACTCTCTCATCAAAATCCTCAATTTTCTCAACCTCGTTACGGATCTAAGGTAGTTTGTTTTTGTTCGTGTGGCATCATGGTATTCGTTGCATTTTTTACCCCTACAATATAGGCCGGTCTCTATGCTCCTCTGAGCAAATGCCGTCAAATTGCACAGTAGTGAACAGGGAGGTGGTGCGCAAACATCAGCAAAGAGATGAGAAAGGGGTTGTCGATTTTTGTTGTGGAATTGAACTGTGCCGATTGTGGTGCTTTTTCGGTGTCCTGAGCTTCGACCAAACGCCTACCACGTGCATCAACTGAGGTGTCTACTGTCTACTGTAGGGGTGTACCTTGTTTCTACTTGTTTCTACCGTTTGTGGTGCACCACAGGGTCTAGTAGGTTGGAAGCCGTCCAGGGTGGAGGCCATGACGCACACGTCGATCCCACGTTTCTACTCGACTTCGTCGCCTTGAGACGTCGCCGTCAGCAAGATCGTCGCAAGCCAAAAGCCTCGACCCGTCGAGGCGTCCCAGCGGGGCAACATGGCCGGAAGGTCCATGCGAAGCGACGAGTTCGAAGCGTCGAAGCGCGACCTGTCACCGGATCCGTGCATCCTTTTTTCGAACCAAGTGGACCGCAATGGACTCTTGAACGCCAACCAAATCGTGTAGTTGGTTTATGTTGCTTTCACATCTATCAGTCATTCTTGCCGCTAAACACAGCCGGGTCAGTTGGTTCAGCGGAATCCAAACCCTCAGATCCAGTGCCACCCTGTTCAGTCGTTTTGGGATCTTTCACTTGGCGAACTGGAGGAGGGGGATAAACCATTTGATAAAGAGTGGATTCGGGAAGGGCCAACAAGAGGAGTCGAAGCACAATGAAGCAAACATCAACAACCACCCAAGCAGCTGGATCGAAGCTTCCAATCTGGCAGCTTGAACATCCTCGGATGGGGCTGCCCGGTGCGGCGCAGGCGTCACACCGAGTGCCTGGAGGACCCTGCCTCCGTTCCGCCGTGAACCGCGTGGGCCGGGGACAACCGCGCGGATGAACCGCGCGGGTTATACAGGATGAAAGGTCGAACATGCATGGCACGTCCTCAACTGAATAATGTATATACCTGAAGCATCCTTCGTAGCACTTATTTCTGGCGAACCATGGTTTTGAGCACTTATTGGAAGTTTGAGCGTTAATTGAGGGTATGTACACTTTTCAGGACATATGAGCGCTTTTTGGTGATGTAAATTCTAAAGCCTACTGGTTCCTGACCAGTGTCCTTATCAACCCTTGTGGGCCTTTGGGGGCCCTATGGACCGGGTGGAAATCCTATATGACCTCTCCTACTAGTAGTATGTGCAAATGAAACCACAAAGGCTTGGTTCTAACCTTCTGGGCGTGCTTTACAGCAATTTTTCCAAAAAGGGTGCCTGCAACTTGGGCGCAAATTCCCGCAACCCGGGCGCAAATCCCCGCAACCCGGGTGCAACTTTAAAAAGTGGCGGATTGTTATTAAGGGATTATCAAAAAAGTTAGTGTTTTCATGTTCCTTGGTGTTTTGGGATGTGAAGTGGTCTGGGTCTATTTGTGGATGCTGTGTTTGCTGGTTTGTTGGATATAGAAGATTGGGTTTCTTTGCTGGGCGAAGTGCAGATATCATGGTGCCAGTCATGGTGCCATTCAAAGGCTAAACGTTTTGTTTCCATCAAGTGGCTTGCTTGATTTCTCTTGGCACCATGAAGCGTCCGGCCTGCCAACGACGACCAGCTGCCTCAAAGCGGCCGGCCACCAGGAGCCAATGGGAAGGGAGGGAAAGAGACATTGTGGAGAGAAAGATTCACGTTTGCAACGATTGCAATGCCGCTTTATGGTTCAGGAACATTCCTGTTTAAATCTGAGGCAAATGTGCCTGTAGACACAAAGGACAAAATACATGCCTGCAGAATGACTTTTTCCAGGCTTGTGTGCACTCCATAGTTTTTCATTCACAAATTTTACTCAGCATCCCTGGTCTCCTGTTTTTTCCTACTGTGTGCAATGCCGGCCCGCTCGAACTTGAACGACTTGCTTTTGCAGCAGTGCCTTTGTGGAAGACGTTCATGCTTCACCCAGTTTCAAGAGAGTGCTGAACATGTTCTGGCTGAGAGAGCCAGGTTTCATGAAATGAAAGAATCACTCAAGGATCCTTGGCTTCCTCTACAGCAAGCTATTGTTTGCTTCTGGCTCCTGTCTCATTATGTTGTGTAGCATCAGGTGTTCAACTTGCGAGCAAAAAATAGTAATCACAGGAACCGGATGAGCGTTAAGGTTTGTACCATGTCCTCACTATATTCTTCAAATGTTCCTATCGAACACATCTGTTTCAGTTTTCTTGTTCTCAGAAGTTGGCCAACACAAGAAGTTGGAGCTTAGGAAAATGCTATCAGATCGTGGTACAACATTCCTGTACCAGAGTTTCCAGAGGGGCCTGATGTGGCAGCAAATCAGCTGCTCGTTGAAAGCGATGAGGAAACGATTCCTCAAGAGGGAGATGTGCTTTTTTCCACTGATGAATCTGGTGGAGATGCAGAAGAGCCCGAGGGTCACATGCTGTTGCAGTCTTCTGAGGATGATGCCGAGCAAGCTCAGCCTGCACCCAAGCGTAGGAGGTATACTGACAGGAAAGCATCATCAACTCTGCAGTTCCTTGGCCGATCGGTGTGCAGCAGGGCACATCAAAAGCTGTACGCCATTGGATCCGCAGCTTTGCAGAACCTCCGTCAGGGCCTGCCTGCTTACACAATGCATGATCAACGGCTGCCAGAACCAAAGCATGAGTTGTTGAAGGTCTCTTTGCGCAGAAAGTCTGACAATGCAAAGTGGCCGCATGTGCTCAAGTTCTTTTGGTTGCTTTACATCAGTGCAGCGGAGGTATTACCAACAAAATTGGTGATGCCCAATTCGTGGCACATGGAAGCTATGGCGAAAGATTCTGATTTCCAAGAACGATATTGTTCTGCTTTTTTGCAGAACCTGGAGCGGAATTTTCAGTTGAGCCATCCAGGTCAAATCGGCCCAGGTACGTTCGCAGGACCGAGGAGATATTTAGAACATTCCGAGCCGATTGATTTGTATATACAATACTCTGCATTTTCAGATGCTGATGGCCAAGAAGCAGCATCATTTGCAACGTTCATGAGAATATTCAACCAGATATTTTCCACACACCTGAAGTTTAGGGACAAAGCAGAGTTTGGGCAGTGTGAAGTGTGCTACCGCATGAAAACAAAACTCAGAAAAGCAAGCACCCGATCAGAAAAGGATCATTGGACGAAAGCCTACAGTTCCCATTTGTTGAGCCAATGGCGGGACCGCCAGTTTTACTGGCGGATGCGGGAGCTTAGCAGGCAATATTTTGCGCAGTTGCTTTTGACTGGAGCAACAAAAATGAAATCTCTGGAGCTGTCATCCAGCGTCTTGTGTGCCATTCAGGATGGCATGGACCAGTCGAAACTGCGTGTACCCAAGTGGGGATATGTGAGACTTCCAAAGACCCCGGAGGCACTCTATCGCCCAGCGCTTCATTTGAGCGCCAGCTGGTTCCACGGAGCACACTTAGCCCTGAGCATTACCGATGAGAATGTCAAGAAGAATTCAGAGAGCCAAATAGAGCAGCTTGCGAGATCTCTATCCAATTTGCTTGCTTCAACCTCCCAGCTGCCGCTATATTTTCACTGTCAGAGTGATAACTGCTTTCGCGAAGCGAAGAACCAGTTCGTGGCAGCGTTTATGTTGATGCTAGTGGCATGTAAAGTTTTTAGATCAACAAGCCAAGGATTTTTGCGTACTTCTCATTCCCATGAAGACGTGGACCAAATTTTTGGGCAGATTGCTCGAATTCTTCAAGGAAAGGCCATCGCCACAGCCAATGACATGGTGGACTTCTTGAACAAAGCCACGAAGAGAAGTGGTACTTCATGCAGCTCAGATTCTACATTGCGTGGATCAAGCTGCGAGGCCTACAAACTTGACGAGGTGACAAGCTGGAAGACCTTTGTTGCTCAAACCGGTGTTGTGCTCAAGGGAATGCGGCGAGTGCATTTTCTTCGTTATTGCCAAAGAAGGGACATGGGGTCTGACATTTTGGATAACGTGGCAGAAATAGAGGAACTTCGAGGTGTCCCGCCAGCAGATCGCAATGGAGAAGACATATTCTTAGTCACAAAACAGTGGCTAGCCGACACTGAAATTGCAAGAGTGATCTGCGTCATGTCCGCTTCAACAGCCCAACAAATTCGTGTTGGGTGCAGTAGTCCGGCTGGCTTGGCTGAGCGAAGGAGGATTTCTGATGGTGTGAGATCAAATATCAACAGATACGCCACTCGGAGTTTGAACAAGGGCACTCTGTCCAAGGACTCCGGACAGTACCTATTGAAGTGGGTCAACGGCACATTGCCGTGCTTTCCAAAGCCAGAGTCATACCCTATCCTGAGTTACAGGTACATTCGAGAACTGCAAGCAGAAGCCAGACATCCAGGCACATGGATGACACCTGCCCGTCGCAGGAATTTTGATGTGACAATTGGTCCAGCAGATGGTAATTTGACGTCGGATTCTGATGAAGATGAGGTGGACTTGCCACTAGCCTTAAGGGACCTTTAGGCTTAGCCTACTGATTGCCACAAGGTTTGCGAAAAGATGCTACATGCATTTTCAGAGTGCTCGTCCGACAGATTCTCCAAAGCGTTGATGTGCACCACAGCTCAGAGGCTATTCACTGGTTCTGTCTCTGTCACTAGGGGAAGATGTTTCTCTAATTTTAAGAGGGGTTGCAAAAGACATTAGGACGCTGTGCGACTTTTAGGAAACATGCCAGTGTTTTGTCTTTCTATTCAAGTTGTTTTGTTTGCTCCACAGGAGTGCAGCTGCTGATGATGGCATCCCAAAGGTCGAGGATGGAGACATTTTCTTCAGTTCGGATGAGGAGCCCATTGCAGGCCTGCCAGTAGCTTCATGTATTTTCCTTCATGGTTTACACTAAGCTCAGTTGGGTCACAAGGATTGCCTTGCTGCCACATTTAAACCGAATTCTATTGTTGACCATAAATTCTCACGGATCACCACAAATACCAGCTCTATGTAGTTGTTTCTCCATGGCAAACACAGGTACAACTGGAGAATGTGGGGAAGAAGGAGAAGTACTTTTAGCTTCGGACGCCGAGGTTGAGGACTCATCAAGGGGTTCTAAGCTGCCTTCTTTGCCTTTCACATCCCCAAGCGTTTCTTGGTTAATTTTTTCTCTAACCTACAGCTTCTTCTGGAGCATGCGCATGTAAAGCTACTTCTCACTCACATGTACTGCTGTAGAGTTTTGAAGGCCACTTGAGCAGATGTATGTCTTCTGAGCATTTACCCTGTGTTGTGTCTGAGATTCGTGCTTTCATCTACAACTTCCTCAAGGAAGAACGCTTTGCAAATCTTCGGGGTCAGCTAGCTGCAACTTGTCGGGGCATTGACCGGCTGCGTATTGGTAGCATCTGTTCTGGGTGGGGTGTCTTGGAAATGGTCATGGAGACCTTCCGACCAGCTTGGAACCAAGAGTGCGTTCTAGAAGACAACTTGCTGCTAGAGGTGCGGTTTGTGATCCAAACACATGTCTGTGGACGACATAAAGCCTCAAAGAACCAAAACCAAACAATACGACACATACCAATTGTGAACGGTGTAGAAACAGCAAAAACTAGCAGCAACACTCAATGAACCATATTCTTGCTAGAACTCATACCTGCAGGTGGAGTTGAGCTTCGTTGTGGAGAAGGATCGGAGAAAGCAAGACTACCTGCGAAGTCGATTTCCACATGCTAAAGTGTTTTTCAACGACATGAATGACATGGGACATGCGAAGGCTTCCACTTTTGATGGTAGCTTCCACAAAGTGCCCAAGGTGAGATTTCTCGCAATGCAATGT